AAGTAAATGAAGGAATAATTTCTAGCTTTATATATTTTCTAATACAGAGATGTATGGAGCACATATACGACATGAAGCATCTCTGTCTTAGGCCACTGATTGTTATTCTGGACTATTTCTGTGCTAGATTGACCCTGCAAATGAGTCATAACATTACAAAAGATGTGAGAAGAAAAATCATCCCTGTATGTTTATTTTATTGCATTTATTTCCTCAATTTGAAGAGATTGTATCCCACAGTTGGAAGTCATATTCTAGACTTACTTGATGGAGTTTGGTTGTAATTAAAATACCAATGTCAAGCCATGGGAAAAAGGACAGAATTTCCACATTAGGAATAGATTTTTAAAGGGTGGTTCCTGCAAAGTTTACACTAATGAAAAAAAATCTATAGTTAATATCTATCTTTTCTTTAATAGCTTGAGTATACAGTTCATATGAAAATGGAGCTGATTCATAAGTATTTGAAACTCCAGTTTTTCTTCAAAATTCCCTTTTAATATCACAAAAGAGATTCTAAAATATAGACACCCTAAAATATGGCTCCTCAAAGGCTCCAAATGCTACAGGTCAACTTTAAAGCTGAAAATCTGGATATTGTCTTCTTAAGTGTATAAAACACATTACATCAGCCATAGATTGGAGAATAAAACTGATTATTACAGAAAGCACATGCAGATAACGTTCTCACTTCTTGTTTCCCAGGCTGAATATTATTCTTGCATCCAGTAGTTAATCACTAGTGAATTAGAGTACAACATTGATTATTAAGAACAGATAGAGGGAATCTTATTAAAAAGTGTTCAAGAAAAAAAATTAAGAGCAATGGATAATATTTAAATATATATACAATGTCAACAGATTTTTAAATTTACTGTTTAGTTTTGGCATTTAACAGCCATTATAAAAAAATAAGCAAGAAATCTCAAGAAATATGCACTGTGAAAATAACAGGCAGGTTGTATCCAAAAATCCCATTTTGTCTCTTCTTTTTTTTTTTTTTTCTTTTGTACTACAGGATATTTGAGAGCTGGAGACTGGGAAAGTGGAGCCCTTGTTTTTTGATTCAATGTTCAAGATTTTTTTTTTCCTTGATGTACAGCAAAGATAGAGGGACGAGGGCTACTCTGTTCTTCCTGACTCTCTAAGTGTCCCATTTGAACTCAGCCTGACTTGCTGATAACTGAGATTGAGTGACTAACTCATGGTTACGCTAGATGTGGGGCCAGGTCCTTCTGTCCTGTTGTGTGTTCACAGAAAGTCAGTGAAGAGATCAGCACATGCTGAAACTGATTTGCCTTGTAGTTGTGACACACACTCCTCCTACTGCCAGAGCTGATATTCTAAAGCTCTACTCCAAGCTGGGGTACCAGCTGAGAAATAAATGCATGTGTCACCAAAAATACAGCAACAGTCTATGGACAGGGATCACACAAACTGCAGCTTCCACCTCCTGAAAACTAGTTTTCATCTGAAACAAAGGAGCCTTAGTGGGAGGCTGGCCTGCTTGTATATGAGCCCACTCAATGTCACCAAGACCTTTGAGTGTCTCACAGCTCTTGCTCTCATTGTTGCTGATATATATGATTTATTAAATCATATTTGAATTGCATGTATTATTTTGGTATAATTTTAATATAGGTTTATTTCTCTTTTAATCATTCTCAAGCAACCTTACCTGTTTATCAATGTTTCACAGGTAGCAACAGACAAGGACAATGGCATCTTATTATACAAAGGAGACAATGACCCTTTGGCTCTGGAGTTGTACCAAGGACACGTGAGGCTCATCTACGACACACTGAATTCCCCACCTACCACAGTGTACAGGTAAGTAGCTAAACTTTACCACAACAGCTGATTTACAGAAAAGATGGAGAGGTGGAATTTTTCTAAGAAATGTGTATGGGAGAAGAACCTTTTATTTTACTTTGCTATGTCTCCTTTATGTGTGTAATTAGATAAGAAAATCAGAATAAAGGCTTAGCTATAGGCTGCATGGTTAAAAATCGGCATTTATTGGCAATACCAGTGACACTGTGACCTACTGTGATTGCAGAAAAGGTTGTGCTTTCTCATGTACTGTAAAGATTTGGTTTCTGGTGGATGTTGTCCTTAAATAGTTCTAAATAATCCGTTTATTTGATGTTGATATTTAGCATTAATTTACTGTACCAAGATAGAGCAGTGACATTGCAACTGCAGGATTGGACTCTGTCAAATAGGAGGAGGAGGGCTGAATTCCCCTACAGGGTGAATATTTCCAGAACTCTCACCTATAGTAGGTAGTAGTAACTATACAAACCATGAAAAAACACAAAACACAAAGGTAAATTGTAGGGCAATGTGACATTCAGGCACTTGACTTTTGGGGATACCAAAACCACGGTCTTCATTCATTAGTCACAAGAAAGAAAAGCAACTACAAAAGTGAAACCCCTGCACAGAAGTGTTTCCCTAGGGAAGAAAGATGTGCTGCTTGTGTCTTCCACTGTTCCTTTAGCAGCCCTCTCCCCAGCTTAATTCCTTCTGATTATTTTTAAGCCCTGTTGCTCCAGTTTGTTCTGTGTAAACACGCAGTTGTGACTACATGGAGTGCTTTCAGGTTCAGTGTGGTTTCATGGCACTGTGTATGCAGAAGAACTGGATTTCCCAGCCCATCTTTCTCCTCAGAAGGAGCATCCTGTTAGAGCAAGCCAAAGGATGCCACCAAGTATCACCAGCCAGGATGGGCTGTGTACTTTTCTAGAAAGTTTTCTCACCACTTAGTAAACCATGAGTCTCGCAGGAGCATGGTAGCAGTACAGAGCTTTCTTTAACGGGAATGGTGACTTGTTTAAGAAAATCAGAAAATTCTTTCTGTCTAAAAGCAACCTGGGTAATACCAATGCAGGGATGTCACCAGGAAGAGCAATGGCTTGTCCAGTATAGGAATGAAGAAAGTAGTTCGTTAGTCATTTTCACCAGCTGGATAGGTGTGAAAAGTTTATCTGTGTGGGGCTGCTAATCCTAATTGATTTCATGTTAGAGCAAAGCTGAAGTTGTTAAACAGTTATGCCACTAATTAGAACATAGGGAAAAGCTCATTATGAGTGGGCAGCGCGGGGGGTGACGGATCGGCATGGATGCTTGCTCTCCATCGTCAAGGGCAGAATGGTGTGGTGACAAGAGCTGTTGCCACCATCACAACAACGCCTTATGGATCTGCTGCCTTCTGGCAAAGTTGCCAGAGATGGAGAGCGGCAGTGTCCTCATTATTCCTGCGCCCTTCATATTGATCAAGGAGGAGGTCTCCATTCAGCCTGACACCTCATTACCATAAGATTAATGGCCTGCTTGCTGCATTTTGTACTGTGTGATGGGAAAGAAACTGCTTAATACGATGCCCTTTCTGAAATGTCACTCTAATCTTTTATTAGTTTAAGGAGTGGAGCAAAATGGGATTAGCATGGAGCTTGATGGGAAAAGATTAGGTTGATTGAGAAAAACTGCAGCTAAAGAATGTCAAAAAGGGCCTCTAAATGGATTAAAAGACTTGTTTTCCTTAAGGGCTGAGGAAGGGGGAGGAAACCTGCTCCTCTCCTTACAATCATGGGATTTCAGGGTAGAAGCCGTGAGCGGATCTGGTTTGACCTCCCTGTATATCCTGTTTGACTTTTAGCTAAGAAGTAAACTCTGGCTAAGACATGACTTCCAGCTTGGCACCGAGTTTTGACAGGAACACACCAAATAATGGGAAATCCCACATTTCCGGTAGCAGCTTGCACAATGGTCAGGCACTGCCATTATTCAGGCATTGGCCATCATTTGTAACTTCTGTCACTAATACCTGCTGAGTGGTTTAGAGGCTTTCTCCAGCGAAATGAAAGTCCTTTCATACCTGGTACTGGCTCCCGTGTGTTTATCTGTACATTTAATTGCATTTTGATTAAATGAATAGCTGATACAGTGTGATGAATTTTACCTAAACCTGAAGAATTTGGGGAGCTCTTTTCTGCAACTTATAGAATTTTTCATGTTTCTTTAAAAATCAGGTTACTAGGAGAACTTGGAACGCTCAGATCTTAGCCTCACTGTTGGTAAAACAGCCTGCCTTCTCTATTGTCTTGCTGTCTTGCTTCGATGCCTCGTTTAAATCTCAATCTCAGCAAAAGTGGACTGTCTGCCTTTGAGGAGCTCTGTTGAAAGACTGTTAGATTAATTTTCATGGCCAATATCAGGCACTGCTCTCCTCCAAAGGGGTCCACTTCTCAGAAGAGATGAGCAGTGCTTTGGCTCTTGTTTTTCCTCAAAAGAATCTGCCAAGAGAGGAGGAGGCCTTAAAAATACTGCCTGGTGGGAACAGTGCCAGCTACAGCTGCAGGAAATCTGTAACTGACCCGGTCCGGTGTTGTAACGAAGATGTTTTGCTGGCTATTTCAGGTACTCCCATGATGGGATGTGGGAAGTCATTGGCAAGCCACATGAGCTGTAATTCTTCATCAGAGTCTCCATGATAACATTTATTAATAGTACTTAAGGAGAGTAAAATTAGCAAAGTACTTAGCTAATAAAGGTAATATCCTGTGGGATAAGATAAAACCTGTTGTCAGACAGGTTTGGAAGCCAGCAGCAAGCAAGACATACTTGGTGGTAGTTTTCAGCAGTGTTCAGCAGAAGGATGAAGTATGCAATGTGTTACATTGCAAAACTGTCTCCCAGCCCCTAGTGTAGAGGCAGGGTGAAGGTTCGTACCAGACGCGTGGTGTGTGTGCTCTGAGCTGCTGTGGTGTGTTCTGCTGATGGCCTCGCTTTGCAAAACTATTTCAGGAGACTGAGGGCAGGGATGTGGCGTAGGAGCAGACTGCAGGTGTGCTGGAAAGCAGTTGATTTTATGTACCCAGTGAGGCAGGTTGTTTCTGGCTGTTGGATTGGACCCGTTCCTGTATCTTACCTGCTCCTTTGGGCAGATTTAAGTAGAACTGCAGAACAAAGTTAGTCTGGGAAAGCCCAAGATTAACTCTCTGTACATTCAGATTTGCTTGACTTGTATTCATTCCTATGGCATGTTTGGATAGAAAGGTTAAAGTTGACATTGGGCTTTCTTTCATTCTAGTCACATAAAGGTCAGCAAATGTCCAATGGAAAAGACTCCCTAAAATACATTGCCTTTTATCATCACGTTAGAAAGAAATACAAGTTAATGCATGAATATGCAATGATTGAACTCACCCTTTTAAAAGAAAAGCTGACTGGTCTGTTACTGGAACTCTGCACTTGTAAGCTGCAGAATAACGGTTTCCTGGATGTCATAGTAAATAATCTTATAGAAGATCCAATTTTTAAGGAGGTCCTACTTGTTGTTTCTTTTATTCTAATAATTATTCTATAGATGCACAAATGAGAACAGAAATCTCTTTGTGAGTGCTTTGTCGAGCTCCTGGTTTCTGCACTGGCGAGGGTTACTCTTCCATGCTATGACAGTACTGAGCCAACAGTGAGTTCTTGAAATAAAGTAAATCTTTTACACAGATACCCTACCTTAATTTAAAGGTACCAACCTATAGGAAATGTGCTGCTTTTATTTACCACCGTGCTCCAGTTGTTAGAAGTTTGAATTAACAAAGAGGATGTATTTCTGTAGTTTCAGCCATTGATACTGGTGTCTGTTTAACTGTATTCTGTAGGGGAGCTTCCTATTTTCAGTCCTTTTTCCTACATCTGTTCCTTGAACCAGAGATGAGATCTTACCTGCAATTTTTTTTTTTTCTGATAGAGTTTATGCTACTGCGCAGTCATATTGATTTGATGCTAAACTAATCCTTCCCAATAGAAATGGAAAATAGAAATTTGACACAAAATACTAAAGTAATTCCCTCCAGAGTTTCCAGATTGCCATGTTGCATACAGGCTGTCATATCTGGTAAAGAGCAAGATGCAGACGTCATTGGTGTAAAATCATGTGTTTTCATGCAGGCTTCCTGACAGCAGTGAAAAAGGAGGCAGTCGGGAAAACATAAGAATTAATTGTATTTGTCTTTCTGCAGAGCCTACACCCAGATTACATTATTCCTTTTAAAAGTATCCTTGTATAATCTGTTTTCAAAAATGCTACATCATTAAAAATATTTCTTATCGTATCATGCAGTTCTCATGGTTTGGCAAATTCTTGCATAGCAGAGATGGATGTTCTTGTGGTTAAAGCAAAAGGTCTGAAATAGGGGAGCTTAAATTCTTACTGTCTCTGCCTCATATGTGATGACTGTGGGATAACAAATTAAATCTGACTCTTTGCACACAAAAAGTACAGATATGCACACACCAAAAAAAAAAAAAAAAAAAAAAAAAAAAAAAAAGTGTTCCAGAAATGTGCTGCAGGTCTCCGGAGGGTGAGGTCCCTTCTCCGCTTCTCCCTCCTCCCTCCCGGGCTGTGGCTGTGGAGCAGCACAAGGTTCTTACCTTAGCAGCATCTGCAAGCTCCCTGTGCCGTTCCACGTCACTCAGCCTCTATCCATGGCAGATGGAGACGTGGGAGCAGCCTCTGTGGCCACCAGCACTTGTTGTCCAACAGCAGGTGCCTTGGCCATGCCACTCCAAAGAGTTGAACTTGGCAGTAGTCAAGGATTTTGGTCCTCTACTCAGATTTCATAGACTTCTCCGTGCTTCCGGTGCTGAGGTTGAACGGTTGCTTTGGTGGGGGAAGAACTTCCCCACCTTCCAAAGACATGGGAGATGGGATTTCAGTGAAATCGCCTCTCTTTAGCTGCAATTGCTTATCTGCAAAAAAGCCTGGGAGGCTTCACCGTTAACTCACTGCCTGCTAGGGAGGAATGTGCTGGAGGAGTGAAAGC